CAAGTTGAATAAGTGTTCAAAGATAGTATCGTCTTTGGTCCTAGGCTAACCCCGTGCTAGAGACGCGAGCCTAGACACAAATGTTGTCACCGGACAAGAGCAAACAATGGAAATGATGAGAGTAAATAGCATCAACTTAACCTCTCTTTTTTTCTTTCTTTCTTTCTTTCTTTCCTCCTTTTCCTTTCTTTTTCTTTTCTATTTTCTTTTCTTTTCTTTTCTTTTCGACAAGTAGCGCATAAACTGAACTTTTGCAATATGATTATAACAAGAATGCAGCAAGTAGCATAGACTTTCTTTTACTAGGGATAAGGATTGCAACAAGTAGTACAAATATGCAATTTGAACTCTCTTATTTTCGAACCGAGTGTACTCAGATTTGCACCAAAAGGACAGGTGCATAAGGTAGTGTTGTTTGTAGGCGGCGGTGAAGGTGATGGTGGTGAGGGTTTCAATGAAAAGGTGGAGAGAGCAAGCGGTGCTTTTGGTGGTGGTGGTGGTGGTATTGGTGGAGATTGCATGGCATTTGAAGTGGGGGGGAAGGGCAATGGATTGTGTGGTGACTAAAACGTGACAAGAACTCAAAACTCTAAAGGATTAGAACCTAAGAACCAGCACTTGACACCACAATGTAAAGCACAAACTCAACAAACAAAGAACTAAGCAGATCAAGAAGGCTCAAACTTGTGTTTGGAATTTCAGTTCTATCCTATTTTATATTTACGGACTATAGGTAAAGTAATGAGCGGTAAATCACTCACCAAAGAACCTTGCTCGATTACCACATGATGGGACTAGAGGTTGTTCTCGATCTTTTGGTGAGTGTGGATAAACTCGATTTGGGGTGGATTCGACGTTATTGTCCGACTACAACGACCACAAGGTTCTGCTACTTAGCAACAGCAGTACACCGGCTCGATTGTGATGTTCTTGCCGTGCCAAGAACACCAAGAACTCGCAAGCAACCGAGAACAAGCAAGAACAAGATGAACAAGCAAATAACTCACGGATTTAAGCCAAAGGCTGAATCTGAATCACAAGTTGGGGTCTTGAAACAAGCAAATCGGGTGGTCTAGCCGACACTGCGCGTTTACAAGGAAGAAGCAAAGACTATCTTGCATCTAAACAAAACCCAACCTCATTCTCGATGGCTGCTGGCTCTATTTATAAGGAGAGCACAAGGGGGTGGGAAACCCTAATCTGGGCGTCCCTCAAAGGGTTGTAGTTAGTACAAGGCCCAGCCCAAGTCAGAGGTCTCTGCGTCCTTTGGCTTCTTTGCACCTGACTTCGGTGAGATTCCGATAGTGGGGTTGGACCCATGTGAAAGAGGACGACGCGCTCTTTCCAACAAGTCAAAAAACCAGCTTCATTGGATCTCGTATCAAGGAGTTATGGTACTTTTGATGGAGTGTCCCCTTTGTCTCGAGATGAGTCATGCGCCCCATTAATGATGATTCCCACTTGTTCGGCTGCTCCATCCTCATCATGGGGTCTAAACATGAGGCAATGGAGTCTTGACCAACATTCCTAAGAATAAGACAATCATCACCATGATTTAGTAGCATCCAATTCTGAGACGAGTTTGTATGAACAGCGAGGAACGACTTTACCTGATAATTAAGTTGTCGTGCTCGAGCTCTTGTCATCGGACCTTGTTGTGCAGCAGGTGTGGTTGTATCAATGGAAGGGATGTCCTCATCAGTATAACTAAGTGTTAAATGAAGTTGAGACCGGACGGAGACTTGCAGAGTTTTGGATTGTAGTGTTTCCGTCTGTGTCGATTAAGGACCAACCGTTGTTGGGCCTCGAGTCATGTTGAACGCATGCCTTACATTTAGCTAGCGGGTGAGTGAGGTTTGTGTAAGGAATAAATCACCAGCTGGTTAGGAATCGATTCGAATCGCCATCGCTCCTGGATAGTGAGCACTTGACTTGAGTTACTTCATCGTAGTAAATGTTTATGGAACACTTGGACAGTTATAGTGAATATGACAGTATGGAAGTTGTTTAATGATCAGTGGTTATCATTATCTGCTTAATCATATGTGTGCTCTAGTATAGGTGCAAATCTAGTCGACAGGTTAATAATAATTAACTTGACAATAATGCTTTTAGAAGGGTTCTTGAATGCTAAAAATGCTTCTTTTGCAAATGAGTCAGCTACCCTACTATAAAGCCCTTCATAATCCTTGGTGTCATTATTTTCGGTTATGTCGGGTAAGTCTAGCTGAGTACCTTCTCGTACTCAGGGTTTTATTCCCACTTGTTGTAGATGGGCAGATGTATTACGGCTACTGTATCAACTGCCTGTATCCTGCTATGGGTGATGCTTAGGACCATGGGCATGGTCATTCCTTACGTCTCGTCTAATGCTTTTGTTGGAGATGATCATTCGCTGGCACTATATTTGAACTCCGCGTGAGTGTGTGTGTGGTTTGAACAAATGGCTTCCGCTACTTTTATTCGAACTGGTTTTGTAATAACTATGTTTAAACTCTGATGTATCTGAGATTGCGAACTTTTATGTAATATGTGATGGTGACCGCTAAACTTATTACGATCTTGGCTGGAATGGAAGTTGGTTTGAAATCCTTCGTGATTTCACGGACTACCGGGTTATACGGGCTTAAGTTTGCTCAATCGCCTGCTCTGGCGGATGATTTTCTTACTTAATTTCGTATAATTGGTCGGTTCTGTTACAAATACTGCCAGCACAGTACTAAAAATAGGACCGTTAGAAGCTGCATGAGCCGTCGAAACTCCTGACTCTTGCCGGGACATCCGACTCTCGGAACTCCCGACTCTTGTCGGGACTTCCGATGAACCAATCCGAGAACATCAAGGAAGTTGCTGCGGCCAGGCCAATACCGGACACGTTCGGTATTTCCAGCCACAACAAGGTCAAGTTAGTTCTAGTGTCTCTCTCACTCACACTTGACATGGGTTGGTTTGAGCACGTATGAATAATCATCTATCAATATGATGCATCCATCTTAATAGTACGACATACCTATTTACTCAAGATCAAATAAAAAATGGATTTTGTAGCGCTTGAGTTGATTTCCTTCAAACCAAATGCCTTAGCTTCTCAATCTTCATCAAGTGAGGATGTCACCATATCAATTTTGTTTTTCTTCTTGAGCATAGCTATCTTGAGCACGTGATTTGATTCCATTAAATGAATGTGAGTTAACTTCAAATGTATCGAGTCACTTCCAATGATTTATCCAATATATTTGATCCTCCACTTCAATGTGACCATCATAGTTTGATTAGTACCTCAACTAAATACAAGTATTTTCTTCTTCACCCTAGCTAGGTTCCTCGGTCGCCAAGCCGTCACTTGCCCTTCACCCTTCTTAGTACCTCGAAGCCTTTCCTTGCTATATTCACTATCTCAAGCCATCAAGTCCCACTTTGTGTTGAATCATTTATTAGGTCCATAATCTATCGTTTTATTTGTTTAGCAAGCTTCAAATATGAGACCATTCTATAAGTAATCCCTCATGTCTCGTCAACCAAATCTTAACGTGCTTGCTTTCTCATGAATCATAGATATCCCACAATGAATAAGCCTCGCATGAATTACATTTGCATTGTTATCTTGTACTTGAACTAGATTGTTTATACAACAACACATCATTTTGTCTTTTATCAAATACCTGTGAGATAACCTATTTCTTGTCCAACACTTAGTAAAACGGTTAGACCTTTAATCACATTGTCATTCAATCATCCAAGACCCACTAAAGGGCTAGATGCACTTTCAATGTCTCCTCCTCCTCTTCTTCTTCTTTGACCACTTTATTTTTATGCCCAATTTTTAGGCAACATGAAGATGTACAACCATGACTTTTTCCATATCTTTTGGCGCCCATGTTTTCGGTGACACAAAATGATTTAGCTTTAGCTCATTTTGTTGTGAGGACTCTTGTTGTATACTTTGTTCGCACGTGATTTTAGCAACGGGTCTTAGAGCCTTGTCTCTTTTCTTAGGGGGTGTTTGGTTATCCCTTCTAAATTTTAGTCACTGTCCCATCGGATGTTTGGACACATACATGGAGTATTAAATATAGACTAATTACGAAACTAATTACATAGTTTGCGACTAATTTACGAGACGAATCTTTTGAGCCTAATTAGTCCATGATTTGACAATGTTTTGCTACAATAAATATATGCTAATGTCGGATTAATTAGGCTTAAAAATTCGTCTCGTGGAGTACTGACGGATTATGTAATTTGTTTTTTATTAGTATCCGAACACTTCATGCAATATCCTCCCGACACACCTCCTAAATTTTAATAGCTGGATCTAAACACCCCCTTATTTCCTTGGGTTGCAGGCATAATCGGCAACACAAAGATATAGAGCTCTATGCTCGTTTGTCAGTTCCATTGGTTACATGCCTGATCAGGAATATGAAGATATGGAGCTCTCTACTCTTTATCTTGGGAGCATCAACGCACAAATTTGGTGCATGAATGCAATGATGCTTATGATAAATGCTTTTTTTTGCGAAATATGATAGATGCATTTGCATAGGAAAAAAACTAACAAGAAAATTTTGTGAGTTCTATAGATGTTGCTCAGCATTATTGATGTTCATGCCACAACAGTGATATGCAGCAACACCTAACATTATTCATGTTGGTAATAGTTCATGATGTAATATAGAACTTTTTGAGGAATAAGGCGGTAGTGGACTACTAACTTCAAATTTAACAAACTATGAGCGAGTGCGTTTGTGATACATCATATTTCTCGGTCCCATGAAGCTAAATCGTGACGAGGTCTCGTTTCAAAAAAAAAAAAAAATTGTTCATGTCAATAAGTGAATGATGTAATGCTTTTCTTGCTTGTTCTGTAATCTGTATCCTTACGATAATTTCTGGTCTAAAGCTGGTTTGATACTTCCTTTTCGAGCTGAAAAACTGGAAAATAATGAGACGGAAAAAAAAAGGAAATCCCTGCTGCTCATGTTGACGACGTGACGAGTTCACCATGCACGCCTCTCGGTGCACTCTGCCGCCGCCGTCCTGATCTGGTACACAGGCGACTCACCGCCGTCTCTGCACCACCTCCGATTCAGGGCATGCTGATCCACCTCCGGGCGACCAAGCCGCTCGCCGGACCGCCGGAGCTCCGCGCCGCCGAGCCCGAACTGCGGCGGGCGGACGTGCGGGTAGTCCGGGAAGCGGCGGCTGTCGGAGGGGTCGAAGAGCGGGAACGACTGGCGGCGGCGCGCGCGGGCCGCGGCGTCGTTGGCCCGCAGGCAGCCGTCGATGACCCGGCACTCGTCCCGCAGCCGGCGCTGCACCTCCCGCGCCGCCTTGCTGATCCTTGCCGCCGCTGTCGCCGTCGCCGGCGCCTGATGGTTGGTCGCGCCGGCCGCGGCGCGGAGGGTCGGCGGCTTGGACCACCTGGCGGCGTGGCGGTCGTGGCACGCGGCGCAGAAGCTGCCCCGCCGCTCCGAGTCGAAGGCCCGCCGCCGCGCCTGGTCCGTCAAGCACGCGTGCGCCTGCGTGCACGCGGGGATCAATTACACAGTTAGAGGCCACCACTCCACTTCACAATCCACATGATTGCTGCAAATGCTAGGAGTAGTGGTGGTGGCAGTAACAGCGGCGCGTGACGAGGTCGGATTCGAAGCGCCGGCACGCGTACGGCAGCCAGCGGCACCGCGTCGCATCGGACCGGACCACGACGGCCGCCCGCATAAGTAGTAGCTACCCTGGCGGCACGGGCGATGTGGAGGACTCCATTAACGGCCATGAGCCGTATCTGTCTGTAACTCTCTAATCTCTATGGAATGGCGACCTCATCTCATCTCATCCATCCGAATCCACGCATCCATGCATGCAATGCAACACGACAGAATGGAGACACAGACACTGCTAGTGCTAGCAGTTGCCGGTGTTCATGCATCTTTCCTCTCCCACAAGAATTCTCGTTCTTTTAGAGGCAAAAACAATTTTAAATTTGACCACATCTATATCTATAACAAAAAAAGGCACTACCATTTATAATACTGTGTCAAATAAATATCCTAAAGATTTAGATATATTTGAGACACAAATGCTGACACAAATTTGACTTGGTTCGAATAACTGCTACTGGCTGGCTGGGGTTTGGAGTGGATCATGGAAATGGAGATTCCAATCCAAAGTAGACGAGGCGAAAGCGTCACGAGGATTGAGGAGAACGACGAACGACGCAATGCAGGAAGAATTCATTAGAAAACGAATGGAACGCGGGTGGTGTGGTACGGTACCTCGGAGACGATCTTGAACGCCACCTCCGCCTTGGGGTGCCTGTTCTTGTCCGGGTGCAGCTGCAGCGCTGTGTGCGTGCGTGCGTGCGTCCAAAACCACAGAACAAGATGAGCTGTTAGCAAAACGAATCAGAGATCCATTTGCGCCCACGGCGCGGCGAGATTGTGCGTGCTCACCGAGCTGCCGGTACCGCCTCCGCACGGCGTCCTCCGACGCCGATTCGCCGATCTGCGTGCGTTCGTGACGCCATACGCCACCAAAGAGCTCAGAACGGGTGCGCGGGGAATAGCGAACGGATCGGAGGGAGGAGGGAGTGGTAGTGCTCACGGCGAGGACGAGGTACCAGTCGACGAAGTGCGGGGACGACCGGCGGCGGCGGTGCGTGCAGGACGCGAACGCCGCCGACGCCGCGCACACCTGACGCGCCGCCTGCGCCCTGGCCGCCGCCGCCGCATCTGCGGCAACGCCAACGCCCACCATTGTTTGCTGGTCTGGATCGATCGGTCGGTCGCACGCCCGCCTCGGCCCACCAAACTTGTAGCTAGACTACGATGATCCTCGATCGGCGGGGGATGGCGGCCATGCACGATTGCGGCAACACTTGCAATCCAAGATCACCCCACAACTCCACTCCCAACAGACTCCCAAGTGGTGGTGCACGGCGCGCTAGTAATAGTGGGCGATCGAGGCCGAGCGCGCATGCACGTGCGCAGGTCACGTACGCGCGCCGTGCGTGGTCGTGGCCATGACCCAGCAACAGGGATCGGATCGAGGGCGGGGGCAGGGGTGATGGTTGTCTCGGGGGTGTACTCGGCGCGGGCGGTTGGGTCGCCGTGCGAATGCGGAAGAGAAATGCGGAGGGGGAGAAGATGACAAGTTTCGCGGTTGGGTTGGGTTGGGTGGATCGATACGCTGGGTCTCTCTCGTCTGCGGGGATTGCGGGGCGGCCGTTTCAAAACCAAACCCACGGAGAAAAAAGGAGCGCGCCGAGCAGAGCAGAGGAACAGAACACAAGAAGCACGCTTCTTTTTCTTTCTTTTTTTTAACTTTTCTTTTCCGTCTCGAGCTGGTCAGTCACCGTGTGCTGTGCCCGTACCGTACGTGCACATTTGACATTTCCTCCCTCTGTTTTTTTTTGAGATAATTCTGGAGTCACGTTACAACCAACGGCCGAAAACTTTATGGGAGGCCATCAGGCAATAGATAATTCTGGAGTCGAAAATCAATTTTCCATGACATGCTATTTTATGTTTCTTAATTAGGCATGGTCACGTTACAACAAAAAAGATGTTACAATACAATCACACTATGAATTGAATCAGCTTTAACTTTTCCACGTTGAAAATGGAACGAATTTCTATTTCCCAATCATGCAAGAGATAATTTTGCAGTCGAAAATCAACTTTTCATTACATGCTATTTTATGTTTCTTAATTCGGACTTGCTAGCGCCCGGACGTCTAATCCGGGGCCCTAGCGTCGGACGATACCCGCGTAGCAAGCGAGCGAGCGCCGCCCAGCAGCATTAGACTTGCGAGCGAGCACCCCAGCAATGGGCCCACGCCGCCCCGTCGCGCGCGGGGGACTGCTCACGCCCCCTCCCGCTTCCCACGCGCATCTCGTGTGCAACACCCAGATCTGCTTCTAAAACATTGAGATGCAATACTTGAAACATACCAAAGAAGACAGATTAAACACTTGAAACATGTCTCTGAAACACTTGCAAAAACACATGAAAAACACTAAACACTTGATTATGGAATAGGGCTTTAGTATTTTAGGTGTTTTTTTCCAAATGTTTCAGAGACATGTTTGCATATGAATGTTTTAAAAGTAGATCGGAGTGTTGCACATGGGATCCTCATGGGAAGCGGAGAGGGCGCGCGTGTCTAGCGGCGCACGCGTGACGTCTGGGGCAGCACGGGGCCGCTATTGGGGCGCTCGTTCGTTTGCTGCGCGGGCACCGTCGGACGCGATGCGCCCGGATCGGATGTCGGGACGCTAGAAAGTCCGATTCTATAATTGCGTTCATTTTAGACCTGAGAGTAACACCTACTCAACGAAATTTGTTGTAGGACACTCTTCAACAATGGTATTCTGATAGACAATATTTAATGCTGTCTTTGCTAGAAAATACTCTTTAATTGTGGTATCTGAGTCCTACTGTAATTATTAAAATAGCATTATCTAGGAGTGGTGGGGAGAACAGTTGAGCATAGTTAACCTCTCCATCAAATTTGTTTACGAGTTAAATGCCTGAATGACCTCTAAACTCTAAACTCATTAAGAAATGTCACATAGGTTCATAAACTTTGAACACATATTTTTGAATAGACCTTTTACAATGGTTGGGGATGCTTAATTTTTAATCCTAAACTTATTAAGGGCCCGTTCGGTTACAGTGGAACGAGCCTAGGAATTATTCCAACTAATGAAGCTTATACAAATTTAGCTACATTTCAGCTTGGAATTTTTCTAGGTAGTCATTCCAGGGGAAACCAATGAGGCCTAAGTGGTGGATTGCATACTTCTAAACTTGTTAGATGGTGCACCGTGACGTTCATTTTGGATCATATTAACCACTGTGGTGCACCATGTAACAAGTCTAGGGACCCATCAGAAATATGTTTTCAAAGTTTATAGATCTAAGTGGTATTCTTGACAAGTTAAGTGGTATCCTTGTATTTAACAAGTTAATTTGTTATATGAGTTACTATCATGTGTATTTCGTTTGGGCTTGTTTCTCTTTAATACAACAAACAAACAATATTTTTATTACACCAAATCAATAATAGTTATGCTGGCTTCTGACCAAACAAGCCCAAGCAGATATGTCACCCGTCATGAGTGATGGGCAGGACTGCAGGAGCAGTATATGCATATGTACTCGGAACTGCGATGACAGGCCAGGACCGGCGCAGATTCTGTGACTTGCCGTGGTAAAGTTACGGGTGACTTTCCATGCCCTCCATTTAACATCCAACAAGCTGAGGAAGGAAACAACTTTCTATGTGCCGGCCGCTATGATGCTCGGCCCAAATAACGCCCAGTTCAGAAGTGAGATGAACAAAAGAGCCAACCGACTCTTAAAAAACATGTGAGCTCAGATAAAATAAATAAAATATATATAAAGTTGTACAGCTCAAAAAAATCTAGAATTTTGTAGTTCATGTCTTTTTCATTTAAAGTCATCTTGGTGTCTAAAAATTGATATAATGTTTAGATTTGTATTCACAAATCTAAACAGTATATCGATTATTTCAGTATTAAGATGGTTTTAAACAAAAATATTGTCAACTACAAGTGGGGCCACCTCTTTAGTATCTGCAATTTTCGTATGAATTTTATCTCTACTAGTGGACATGCATGTGCGGCACGCACATGTTTATGATTGTGATATAAAAAAGAGGATAAAAACATAAACTTTAGTCAACTTAACATTGTTTTTTATAGAATAAACTTAAAAATGGTTTGACTTATGACAACAATAAAACCTTAAAATAGTAGATATATATCACATAAAAATGAATTCCAACAAAATCAAAAGATCCAAATACATTCAAGCATAGCTTCACTATGTAAAGGTAAAGCTTGTCTTTAGAAAAAAAAAATTATACAAAATTTCATATTTCTCTAAACTGTAATGAATTAGTATGAATTTTATAAATATTTAATTAGGTTTCAATAAACCTTTATTATTGAAAAAATGTCATTCTTGCAGTGGCATGCACCGACTTATAAATGCATAAATCTACACTGTTTCCAAGCCAACACATTGAGTCTTGGAATTTGGGAAATGAAACTCCCCACTTAGACTGGCCTAACCAGTTTGGCTGCTCGCGATTTAGCTGAGCATGAGTCTCATAATATAGGCCCTAAATTCTGGTTGAGTATCCAAAAATCAAAGTGATGTGGATAATTCTTCGATCCGATCCAAATCCAAAATTTGAGGATATAGAGAAGAACTTTAATATCCATGTGGATACGGATAATTCGAATCCGTATATGTGCGGATGCGGGATAGGATATGGAATAGAAAAAATTCAGGTAGATATGGATTATCCATAAATTCTATTCAGATTATCCTATGTTTAAAATAAGATATCCGATTTTCTTTGTTAGTGTCAACACTAGCGAAATGCAACACCGTTACATAGCAACACTAGCGAGTTGATTATTGGAGACAATTTATTTACACCGTTACATATAGCACATCTTCAAAAAAAACATATCTTTATCCAAGCTTATACGTAAAAGTTATGATAAAAAAGATAAACTGCACAGAGAAAAAAAAATTCCGGCAGCTATATATAACTCATTTGCATCCAGGTTAGGCACCAGTAGTAACAAAAAAATAAAGACTTCATCAACTGTTGGATGAGAATTGGATGGCATCAAAGTGAGGTAAAGTCACCCATAGCTTTACCACGGCAAGTCAGAGAATCTGCGCCGGGCCAGGACGTGGACTACGCTCTTGTCCTGTTACCTCAACGTGCCAAGGCTAGCTACAGGTTGCTTGCTTGCGGAGCGCAAAAGTCAGCGTGTACGTAGTCCATGGTGTTCTTCTGGTTTTACATCGGTTTCCCCGATCGATGACGTACGTGGTGCCGTCGGCGGCGATGACATTCAGTCATTCACATTCAGTAGCATCAGTATCATACTCCTGGTTTGGTAGTGGCAGGCACGTATCATCGCATGCTCTGCTCTCACTGTTCACATTCAACTGCACCTTTGCGCCTATCTGCGCGGTTCCCTCTTGGAATTCTCAATTCTCCGTGCCAAGAAATAAGCCAGGTAGGTGTGGCAAGAATCTACTACGAGCACCGCTAAAAAAACAGCACCGGCGTTGAACTTGTAGCTCCTTGAGCCATGAGACCCTGACAGTAATGTCTCAGCAGCCGTGCTACTACCTGACAAGCAAGGAAGAACAAAGAAAAACACAGTCAAAGAGAATGCCTTGAGACTTGAGACAATCAACTACTCCTTCTGTCCTGCAGGTTAGACAAAGTGATTTCACCTTTATTCAACTTTTTTTAAACACCCTTCCAAAAACAAAGTGATTTCAAGAACCTTGCGACCTTTCCTTCCAAGAAGAACTTCTCAAAAACTCCTATTCTCAAAAAAAAAAAACTCCTGCGACCTTTCCAAGAAGACCGAATCATTTGGATGCGGCCCACTGCAAATAGGCCCACGTGTTCTTTCAGACGCAGCGCACGCCAGTACGCCACTCCAGTCCAGCCCAAGCGGGCGGCGTGCGTTTCTCCCACCAAAACCACGCGATGCCGGCCCACCGTCAACCCACCCGCGGCCATCCGGGTCCCACATGACGCAGACCCACAAGTCAGTCTCTCCGTGCGGAAGGAGAACCCGTGCGGGGGCGGAGCTTGATTTGTGGTCAGCCAGCAATCATTCCCGCCGGCCTGTTGCCCCCTGCTCCATGCTCCCGAGGGACCCGGATAGCCACCAATAGACGCCCCCACGTGATCCACGCTGTCCTCCCGGTCCCACCCACCCATCCAATCCAACCATGCGAGCGCTGTGGCTGTGGGTTCCATCCATCCAATCCAAGCCAATTGCGGATTTGTTCGAGGTCGTTTTCACAAAACGGGCACGCATTGGCACTGCCACTTCAGATCTGTCGCTACGTGGACTGCTTTTGTCGCGGTTGGAGGGCAGGGGCAACGATCTGGCGACCATTTGGATTGCATTATTATTGGATTACAGAAATTATGTAGCCGTTGCTGCCACTGTAATTTCTTTTCACCTGGATTTTGAGGAAGGCTATTGGTCTTGGTCGGATAAGCAAGCCTCTAGTTTACATACTCCCTCAAATGTCGTATTAGGTGCGTACTGCGTACATGTACGAGTATTTGCATTCTAAATTGTGATTCAGAGAAAAGGTTTATCATAATTAACTCCTTTCAAACTTTGATGATCAGTTTCAAAAAAATCAATCGTTTTGACATCATGTGACCTATATATATATATATATATATTATGGAAGTATTCCTATAGTGGATGCAAAAACATAAATATCATATTGTTAAACTGTTCGTATATATATATTTTAAAAAAAAAGGTCTGATAATTAAGGATACAAGGGGTATTCGCTGCAGCTGCAATAGCTCTTTATCCGCTGCTAAGTACTATAGTTTAAACTGAAAAGGTTGTAGCTACATCCGCTTTAATCTACAACGAATAGGGCTAGAAGTGTTTGACTTAGAATATAAGTTATATGACATGTAAAAAATAGATGGAGTATATAAGAATATAACACAACATTCTTTTTATTCTAGAGAAGCAAGCTTGTGCCTAGTCCTGGGTGTTCGCTTCAGATAAAAGCCGCATGCTATAATTCAAGTGAGGTCAACCGTGTCTTTTGCCTTGAATGAACTCAAGCTATACATATTTTCCCATCAAAACATGTAGAATTATGGTATCCATTCATTATTACTATACGGATTACTCCTCCCATGCCAAGTCAAATTTTGTCAAGTTTGATTAAGTTCATAGAAAATAATATCAACATTTATTGTCTCTAAATAGATTCACTATGAAAATATACTCCGTCATTAATTCGATAATACTTTTTATTTGGTAAGATAAATGTTAGTATTCTTTTTATAAATTTAATAAATAAATTTAAAATTAATTGTGAAAATTATATTTTTTGGGCGATAGAAGGACTAGATGATTGCGGCTGGACCATACCGAGCGGTCCATTTCAGCCTTTTCAAATATTGCAATCAACGCCTTGTCACGTTTCATTAAGAACTCTGTAACCATGCGTACTACAGTTTTATCGTCACCCTACCAATTAACAATTTATTTACATATCTTCGACGTCACGAAAAAGATTTTGTTTTGTTTTGTAAAGGAATTATTATTATTACTTATGGACAAAATAAAACCTGGCTGCCTGCCTGGCTCACTTTGCAAGTTGCAACTTGCAGAATTTACAAATGGGCCCTTCCACAAAATAAAAGCCTACACAAATCCTCAACCCCGTCGCCACTTCAACACCTTCCTCCCTCCCTCCCTCGCGATCGCCCAAATCCTTCCTCCCCGCCCGCGCCGCCGCGAATCCCAAGGCGCCCCCGATGCCCGCCGTCGTCGCTGCTGCTGCTGCGGCAGCTGCGTCAGGCGGCGCGCTCCTGCTCTGCCTGCTCCTCAACTGCTGCACGCAGCCGGCGTCGGACGCGGAGAGAGAGAGGGAGAGGGAGGAGGACGAGGCGTCGCCGCTGCTGTCGGGGTCTGGGCCGGGTCCGGGAAGGGAGGCGGGGAGCGGCCACGAGAAGGAGGAGCCGTGGCCGGACAGGGCGCCCGTGACCTGCTGCGAGGCGACCGCGGTGGCAGCGCGCACGGCGTGGCGTACGTGGGAGTTCACCGTCGGGCGGTGGGGCCTCCACGGGCTTGCCTTCGGGATCAAGCGCCACATGAAGCGTCAGGTTAGCTAGATCCCTCCATTTGCTGTCCCTCTCTTGTCTCTTGTTCACTCGGTCTCTGACTGAGGGTGTGCCACGTTCTCTGCTTCTCTGCTCGTGTTTCGTTTTCGTTTGCTCTGCTTTGGTATGGGATCAAGCATAGCATGATTTGATCAGCGGCTTTCGAACCAGAGTGACCATAGAGCTCAAACAATCACAGTAACTAGTTTCTGCGGTTGGTGAATGCGAGTGCTGTTACCTCCAGCGCTGAAGCAACTAGGTAGTCGCTTTCAGTAGAGTGTTTCCGTTTCTCAACTTGCTGAAAATGTTTGTGTGAAGGTTGAGCTTCTGAACATTTTACGGTTTGACTTGCATTGACTTGGAAGACAGGTTTGAGTTTCCTTTACTTTTGGTCCTTTTTTAATTGTTGCTTTTGCTATATATTTTGTGAATTGTTGGTCAGTTGCTTGCCTGACTTCGTACCGTCACTGTACTACGACCCTGCACTTGCGGTGCCCCGATCATAATGATGTGCCCAGTACTTGAGCTCGAGTTAAGATCGGTTGTATGTATGCTCAGAAGTCATGGATCTGTAAGATCCAGTTTGTCGATTTTCTGAGTAATACAATAAGTCTATAATGCACGTCGGATCATAATATTGGAGGCATACAGCGAATGATGCCATAGTTGTGCAAACATCTATTTGAGAGAAAATGGAAGCTACACATGTTAGTGATGCTGGCATCACAATGATCTACCTCTCTTGTCCTTCCATCGTTCTCATGAATCATGACAGATCCAGGCATTGTTCAGATGGATCCAGCTGTTAGTTATGATTGCATGAATATTACTGAACTAGTCCCACATTGAGACCAACAAATTCACTCATATGTCTTTGTATCATCCCAAGCCCTTCATGAACCAGCAAACTGTTTCTTCCATTATTGGAAGTCAACTAAATCAGTTCGACTCTGCATAATATTACCACTCTGTATTGCTCTTTTCAACACATTTTACTCATAGGCAATGTAGGAAGACATATGGTTAACATATTTTCTTCTCTGTGCCATGTCAGGGTAATTTGCAGCATGAGTATAGTGGAAATGATTGTCTCCAACTTAAAGGGCATCAGACATATACCAAAGTGTCTTCTCTTCTTGAGTACTTGAAGCTTTGCATGTTCTTCTCAAAGAAATCTTGTTCAGCATTTCTGAAGTTTGGTGGGTACAAACAAGAAGATATTCTTATTCACAAGGCTAGGGCGAGGGTGAGTAAGTATCGTGGGCATTAACTTAAGCTTAAGGTCATAATTAACATTCGTTCCCATATATTGGTACAGAATATCTTATTCTTTGTTCATTGCTCAATGCAGCTCATGCAGCCTTCTTTCGCATTGGTGTGTGACCAAAGAACCAAGTGCTTGCTGCTTTTCATTCGGGGTGCTATCAGCACTAAAGAGCGCCTGACTGCAGCGACTGCTGCTGAAGTTCCTTTTCACCATATAATTCTAAGTGAAGGAAAGATCAGCAATGTAGTTTTAGGATATGCACACTGTGGGATGCTTGCTGGAGCTCGTTGGATTGCAAAACTTATTATTCCCCATCTTCATAACAAAATGCAGGAATTTTCTGGGTACCACATAAAGGTAATTCTCACTAATTATCTGCACGTGAATGAAATGAATAAATTGCATCATGCTGCAGTTTATAGTACCTGAATATACAGCCCCTTCTATTTTGTCTAATTTTCTTGTAGTCGAAAGTGCTGCTTGCAAATATTAACTGTTATTCTGGTGATTGATGCGCTGTATGCATAGTAAAATTACTGATATCGAAGTCATCTTGTTGTCAATATCACTGCTTTATACTGTTGCATTTCATACTGTCTATATTCTGGCTGAAATAAATGGAAACTTGCACTTTCATTGGTTATTTTTGTGTAGAGATTACAAATTTGAGGATGTTCTACTTTATTTTCTACCTATGTACCTAGGCTTTCGGTAGAGCTTTTTAGACATGCTAATGTGGTTTGGATATATACCTTTTAAGCTTATGAGTTCGTCTTGTGATTTGCTTCAAACTGTTGTATGAAGCTAGCATTAGTGCTCGGCACAGAGAATAAGGTTTACATGTCTTAATGTGATATAATCCAACTAGGTGTTATCCTTTTCGTTAGGTCATTGGGCATTCAATGGGAGCTGGCATTGGAGCGATTCTGACTTATATTGTCCGTGAGCATTATGAGTTCTTGTCATGCAGCTGTCTGGCATTTGCTCCTCGTAAGTAAAATTTGACAAACTTTCAGTTTTGTTGATTGTTGAAAGTTCGATTTGGAAGCTCTCGCTTTTCATTTTATTTATAATGCTAAGATCCTGTGCTGGCATTTGGAAATCTTATCTGGCTCTCAGATGCCCTTTGGTTTCAGTGTTTGAAGTTGGCTAGTTGGTCACTTTATGTCTCTTTTGTTAACCTTTCTCTGTTTGAATGTTGGCAAAGTAGTCACTACACAAGATTCTCATCCATGCTAATTATATTCTGGAAAATTTCTTTCCTGAATTTGCATCAGTTAACCATGATTTTAAAGTCGAGGACATAATAAAGACTTCCAGGCAATTTCATTTTTTTTTAACTTAACTTCCAGGCAATTTCATTGCTGAATGCAAAGCTAATGAAACTTCATTTGACTTGTGGGATCTATGCTATCCGATTATAGTCACAAAGTTCCCTGCTCGATGGGGCCGAGTAACGGGGTCAAGGAACGTGGCAAACTACTTACGAGAGGTTTTACAATTAGGGTTGAAAATGACCCCGCATACTTGGGTCGGGCAAGGATATTTCCGGAATTCTAAGTACCTGGGTTTCTGGGTGGGGTCCGTGACTATGGAAGTGACAGAAGTATATTTCTTTCGTAGAAAATTATTTCTAGCATTCTGAAGTACCTTTTGTGTTATTTAGCTGCATGTATGACATGGGAGCTGGCGGAGTCAGGCAAGGATTTCGTCACTTCTCTTGTCAATAGAAATGATGTGGTGCCAGCATTTTCGAAAGTTTCTTCTGAGAGCCTGCGATCTGAGGTATCCTGATGGCAACTCTTTGCAGTAGCTTATAAAATTTAACTGGACTTTAGCCAACGCAGACTCCTTTAGGAGTTGACGAGTAATAAAAGTATTAAATACCACAAAATACTCCTCACTGAATGGCAATGCATACCTTACTCATTTTCTGATATCACAATATATTTTAGCTTCACAATTGACGTCTCATTTCTTGATGGTAGGTGATGGTATCATCAAAGCTGGATGATGTGCAGGATCACTTTAACCATGGTTTATTCGCCAGTATAAGTCAGCGTGTTGCCTTCATCAAGTCCCATATGCTCTCCATCTCTAACTCAACAGGGAAGATTGCAAATCATGGCTCTAGTATTTCTGAGGTAAAATCCCTCAATATCCCCAGCTTGTACCCATGAACATTTTATGGCTGCTCTGGTTACTGAAATCACCAAGTTAACACAATGATATCTTTTTTTTTTCCAATTTTTAATGAAAGGTATCTAAGACACATCTGGAGTCCTGTACAAATATGAGGTTAATCACCCGGAGTTTGTAATTTACATGTAGCAGTTGAGATCCACTGAATCTTTCTGATGTACCGTCCCAATCAGTACCAATACCACTAGTCCACTAGCAACTGTGGGCCAGCAACACTTCTGTCTAGGACTATTTAATAGATCCTACATATAGGTTTGAGTGATTATCCTTTAATTGACACTGCAAGCGCTAAACAATACTCCCTCCGTCCCAAAATAGAGGTCGTTATGGGATGCGTGCAGGTCAAACTTTCTCATCTTTGACTAGCTTTATAGAAAATACGTGTAACATTTATATCTCCAAATGAGTTTATTATGAAAGTATATTCAACGATCTATCTAATAATATTAATTATGTATTATAAATATTAATATTCTTTTACACATAAGTGGTCAAAGTTGAAAAATACTGATTTCTCGGGAAGCGAGAACGACTTCTATTTTGGAACGGAGGGAGTATATCATGTGGGATATAATAGTCTGCTGCCCATTAACTCCTACCAAGTGCATTTCTGCTTATGTCTTGAGTTTTCTGGGAAGCCCCTTTCTTTCACCAAGCCAAGCAAATTAATGTGAACAGTATTTATTTGCTATAGTGTGAGCATGCTGTAAAAATAAGTAACTACGATTATGTTTTCTTTTCTCTCATTTTAGACTAGAATTATGATTTCTGAGAACATTTTCCTTGTGGCATGCAGCCTTTGCTCCAAGAATCGGCAAATACCATACCGCCTACAGCAAATGGACACAGCACTGACTGTAGCCAGCAACAAGTTGTTGCCTGTGAAGAAACGGTCGTTCTACTAGTCAACAACGACCATTTGACGTGTGCCAAGCCTGCTGATTCAGGCCTCACATCACAAGAAGGTTCAGACAGCAACGCAGCATCGGACACTCAACAATCGCCCCCGCCAACAGACGAAGGAGAAGAAGAAGCAGCCCCCAACCAGAACGGCGCCGGAAAGTATAAGCAGAAAGAACCGGTTTCAGCGGGCTGTTCGTCGCGCCAGCTCTTCCCTCCTGGGAGGATCATCCACATGGTTGCGCTGCCCCCGCCGCCGGACCCAAACACCGGCGACGGCACGAGCAGCGATGAGGTCATTGGGATATACGAGACGCCGAGGGATTTGTACGGGAAGATACGGCTCGCGCCCAACATGATTAAAGAACATTACATGCCTAGCTATATAAGTACGATGGAATCGTTGTTGGAACAGCTTCAGAAGGACGATGATGATACCAGTGTATGTACCGCATCAAATGGCCTGTGAATTATTGTAGAGAACTCCATTGGCCCTGTTCGCTTCGCTGAAAAAAATAAGTCGAAATACTGTTCCGGCTGATTTGTTGTGAGAGAAAAATAATGTTTCGACTGAAAAAATGAAAAAGACGGATTAGAAGAGAAGCGAATAGGGCTGTTGTGATTAATCCAATTCTTTCTCATCACCTAATTTTGTCTCACATTTTTTTCTCGTTGACCGAGTGACATGGACGTCGCCTGTCCGTACGCGCGTCTCCGGCTTGTCCTCGCCACGCTGGCATGCATGCGGAGCTTGCGAATTCCCTCTCGGCCTCACGCTACAAGAGAGCACCTCCAGGCTTCCATGAAACAAATTCTCGCATCCGTCCGTCCCCTTCCGCTGCAACCTGCAAGCCTGCTGCACCTCTCGCAAGGATCGACATGGCCGCCTCTGGTGGTGGTGCTGCTGCTCTCCGCGGCCTCGTCGTCGTCCTCGCCGTCCTCTCCGTCTCCGTGTGGGGTGCGGTGGCCACGATCAACGTCAAGGAGACGTGCTCGTTCACGGCGCACCCGGACCTGTGCGAGAAGGACATGACCCAGCTGCTGGGCCTGGAAGGCGCGCCGGCGCCGGCGCCGGCGACGTCCGACTGAGATTAGCTCATGCCTGCACGCATTCGCGATATGTTATATAATAATGTGCTGTAAGCCTGTAACTTTGGTGTCCTGCTGTTTGATCGTCCAGGACGCCGCCGCCAATGTCTTCAAGAAATAGTTCCCGAGTGAAACGGTGGATCAATCAACACGTTCATGTTTCGTCGTGCGAGTTTCATTTGTTTTTGTTTTTTTATGAAATGGAGTTCATGTTCTACCTTAGAATTCCATCATCAAGGCTAACAGCTAGCACATGGGAATAATAACGAAACTGGAAAGCAATGCCAGCGGCGGTTGCGCCGATGAAAAACCTTGTGATATCGATCATATCTCTTGCCCGACGACGGCTCGACGAGTGGTGTCTTGGGTGGCCACAAACAGAAAGGGAAGGCAACGAAACGAAGCCACCGTACTCGTCCCGGACGCTAATCCAATTCCTATCCCTGTCCGATACAATACAAAGGTTAGTTAAGCCCCGGAAAGGAAAGTCCATGAACAATACAATCCGATTCCACTTCGACAGTTACGTAGCTAGTCCTGTCCCTGTCCGATTCCACTTCCTTATATACTCCTTGTGTGCTTGTTACTACGCCTTGCATTGGAGCGCGGCGCGCACGATCGACCCGGTCTCTCGCCTTGATCGGCACGGATACTCACCCATACGACATGGCCGGCGACGACGACGACACGACGCCAGATCCGTTGTTCATGAACGTCCCGCGGCGGCCGAGGAGCGCCGCCTCGTGGCCGCGCAAGGAGGAGCCCGACGGTGGCGATCACGGTGGTATTAGCGTCTCCAATAATGCGTCACCACCGGCGACGACGTCGGTGGCATCCAATAAGCGACCTGCCTCGTCGACCGGCGGCGGCGGCGCCGAGCACGTCCCACGGGCCAAGAAGCACCGGCTAGTTGTTCCCATCGAGGAGCCGGAGCCGAAGGCGAACGACCGCGGCGTCGGTATATTAGGCGGCATGCCACCAGCGCTTTCACACAACGATAAGGCAGCTGCTGCTGCGGCAGCGTCGTCGGCGAGCAGTAGTGAGGCGGAGCCAGCCGTTGACTGGGCGGAGAATGAGCGTTACCGCAAGGGGAAGACGCCGGTCGTGAACGACGACGACGACGCATGCGTAGCGGTCGCTCGCCGGCCTCTTGCTGGCAAGCTCCTGGGCGACGCCATCCGGTCCCACCGGAGCACCGCCGTGGCCGGCTTCAAACCATCCAGAACGAAACCCAAGAAGCCAAAGAAACCACGAACGAAACCCAAGAACAAGCCAGTGAAGAAAGACAGCAGCGCCTGGTTCTGGTGCGGCACGGGGAGAGACGGGATGTCATCGGCCGGGTCCGACGCGGACTACTCGTTCGACAGGATCGGCGTCGTGAGCAACAGGCTGCGGACCACCCTGAGGGGCCTCGGCGTCGCCGCCCCCGTGCGCCTCTACGGAAGGTTTCTGACCAGGTGCGACAGGGACATCCAGCAGACGCGCTTGCTCATGTCGTGCAAGAAATGGCGCGCCGACGACGCCGAGTTCCCGCTCTGCGCGTTCATGACGGAGGAAGAAAAGGAGAAGGCGCACGGGGCGGGGCTGCCGCTCACGGCGTACGACCGCGGCGGCGACGCGTACGAGCTCACGTTCAGGTTCCTGGAATGCAACGTTGCCTACCGGCTCATCAATAAGTGGGGCGACTTCCTCAGGCACAACGGCCTCGTCGTCGGCAAAGACGAGCCGGCACCGGTGGACGACGACGTCATGCTCGACCTGTGGTTGTTCCGGCCGCCGGGGGGCAAGTTCGGGATGGTCATGCTGCACTACCGCAGAGGCGACGCCGCGCATGCCGACGCCGCCTTGGACGAAGTGGAACAGAAGAGGCTCCAGCTGATGCTGAACAATGGCGCCGCCGCCGCTGTTATGGAGGACGTTGTGGGTGATGCGAACGAGGAGGGAGACGAGGACGCTGGCGTGATTGGCGAGGTGGCGGCCGCCGCACCCGCACCATCGTCCCCGTCGGAGCCTAGTGGTGGTGGTGCAATAGAGGCGGCCGAGGCCGCATCGTCCCCGTCGGAACCTGATGGTGTTGGTGCGAAGGCACCCGAGGAACAGGCTGGTGCTCTGGGCGAGGTAGCGCATGACGCACCGTCGACTTCATCAGAGCTCCATGGCGGTGCCGGCCGGAGCGACGAGGTGACTGCACCATTGTCGCTGGGCGATGGAACAGAGGATAAGGAGCAAGAGGCCGGCGGTGCGCTAATGGTAATGGTACTGGAGGTGGAGGCTGCCACACAATCATCGTTGGACTCGAACACCGGTGGTGCGGCAAACGACGTAGCTGCGCCACCATCATCGCCAGAAGCTGGTGGCGGTGCCGCCATGTTCACGACGGAGGATGATGAGGCTGCTGACGAACTGGCCGAGGCAGAGGCAGCCGCGCGCGCGTGGAATGTTACCAAGTACGAGTTCCAGGCCGCACAAGGGCTGATGATGCTGTCTAGAGCTAATAGTAATAGCTAGCCCTGTGGATATATATACTAGCATTTTGTACAAACGGCAAATCGAAACTATATGCTACTGTAAAGTGTGGGTTAGAGCATCATGCATGGTGCTGGTTTAGGACTTTTAGACCGTCTCTTACCTGGTTTTGTATTTTGGCCAACGGTACCAGAACAGCTCATACTTGTTAGAAACTAAATATCAAGATTCGGGTGTCAGCAAGAACATCTCTCCCAAATTCCATGAATGAAGAATTAAAGACCAATAATCGGGTGCTAGTAGACAAAAACAAATCAAATTATAAATAGCCGGATTTGAATGAATGGGCCTCGGTGTCCAATGGCCTTAAAAGGAAATCTGGGCTGATATACCCGATCCAACATCACCATCAGAGCTCACCCGCTGAGCTCGCCCTCGCGGCGCCGAGTTCGCCCAAGAAGACAGGCGAGTCCATGGTCACCACCCACACACACCGTCCACCACCAGCCTTGCGCCTTCCCCAAGCACACCACCACCTCCTGGACCATCACCGCGTCCATGGTATCCAAACCCAATGCGATCCAGGCGAGATGGAGATCTAATGACTGGCGAGGTGCGGGGATGGGGGAGGGTGACGACCACCTCGGCACCGTCATATCCAGCTTCGAGCTGTCTAGTCTGCGGCCATAGGGGAATGGCCACCATTTCCAACGACGACGCTAATAACTCACTGTCGTCGTCCTCGGCCCGGACACCGCCGCTACGCAGGGACCCATGCGGGCTGCGCCTATGGCACACTGCCCACTGTCGCAACTGCGGTTTGCACCACCATGCCACAGCCGTCGGCATGGCACATCCAATGGCTACGAGCAGCGATGTGCCAGGATCAAGCGCAAGGCGAGGAAGCCACTGTAGCTGGTCCGACAACAGGACGCGTGAAGACTGATTCTGGCTAAGCGGGCGAACCGGTGAAGTAATTGGGCCGTAATCGAATTAGCGAGTATGTCGGTTGTTAGCCATGGGCTGTAGTCGGTTGGGATGGCTGGGAATCGGGGGATATAAGCCCTTGTAACCGTTCGCTGTAAATCATCGAACAACAGAACTCTGTATTCCAAACTCTGAAACTTTGTTCTCTGAACCCTGTCTCCTGCTGTTCGTCTGAATCCTTCCCATTTCTTGCTGAATCCCTGCCTAAATTCCAATTCCACTCTAGTTATCCGATGTGTTCTGATCTGGAACATAACACGATGCTGGGCGCGAGAGATGTCCTGGTGTCCACAACAATCCTCGTGCTTTTGCGTGGGTGTTGTGCAGCATGGCCACAGACAGTAGGCCTAGGCCGCCGGGCTTGGAACCAGTAGGAGGTGCGACAAGGCTGGCTGGTAGCGCGAGCTCGAGGGTCCAGTGGGGAATAAGGATGGAGTAGGGGATGACAAGGACTCACATGTCAGCGAGTGGAGGGAGACAGAGCAATAGGAGTATTCTGGTCCATACGAAAATACGGCGATTTGCGGGTGGGTCCAAATAGCCCGCGGGCATAAAAAAAGGTGGTATATTTCAAGTTCTTGATGAATTGTAATGGCACCTTCATTATTTAGGCGAGAAGTAGTGGTGTTTCTCAGGATCATCATATATAATAGCATGGTTCTAATTAGATAGATGGTAACCGGTCCAAAAGTCAAAATAGTCGTGGGGAACCTAATCGAGGACTCCTAAGTCAAATTAAACAAATGAAAATTTTAATGAACATAAGCAAGTAATTACACTATATTTATGTAATTCTTTAGATTTAGGGCGCAGTTGGACAAACAAAAGCTCAAAACAACTTTTCCAACATTTTTTTATGGAAGACATATATATAGATTTTGGATAACAAGCCCAAACCCAAAATTCTTGCACTAAAAGTAAAATTCAAAGGAAGAAACAGACACACCATTAGTCAAAATAAAATTTTTTAACAATTTTGTATGAAAGGCATAACTAAAGAATCTGGGAAATTACTCCAAACCAAGATTCAACTGAAAATAGCTGAGTTTCGTAATCGAAGTATTTGAAAATTTTCAATGGAAAGCAAATATTCAGAATTTAGAGAACCGGTCTATGGAAGACATCTGCAAATTTGCCTTTGGACTTGTTACCCTAAGGAAAAACCATATCCTCAAAAATAAATAAATGCATAATAACAATGTATAAATCATAATCAAACAAAAAAATTACCATGGGAAAACAAAGTAAATCCAGAATTAAAAAATCAGCATTTATGCGTGGCTATATACATATCATCCGTGCCTACTTTAATTTCTCTCTTTTATTTTGAAGTCATTCACATCTGGCAAGCTAAGAGTCTGTCTGGCATAGCATTATTTTGCTCTGGCTTCTTTCTACAGTAAAGCAGAGCCGAACAAAGCCGGCCACCACCGTAGCACCAACGGAGTAAATTTAGCCGGTCAAAGTTTGAAACCGTTTGGGTTGACCATTTGCCGTGGACATCGTCCGTACGCTCGGCCTTGCATGCATGCAGCTGCTGCAAACCTCCCTGGCCTCATGCTACAAGAGAACACCTCCAATGGAATTAATGGTCCAGCCCTCCATGAGACAAGGATTTCGCGTTTCCTGTATGCCATTGCCATCGCTCGCGCGGATCGTCAACATGACTGCCACCCTTCGCGTCCTCATCGTCGTCCTCGCCGTCGTCTCGGTCTCCCTCCGGCGCGCCGCCGCCGCCACGGTCACCGTGGATGAGGCGTGCAAGCAGCACACCAAGTACCCGGAGCTGTGCGTGAAGTCCCTGTCGTCCGCGAAGCCGGAGGCGAAGGCGGCGGCCGAGCAGGGCGGCCTGGCAGGGCTGGCGGAGCTGTCGCTGTCGCAGGCGGCGCAGGTGGGCGCGCAGAGACGGTGGCGTTCGTCAAGGGCCTGGAGAACACGCCGGGGGGCATGCCGCCGGTGTGCTTGAACGAGTGCGTGGCCAAGTTCCAGGGGGCGCTGGCCGACCTGCAGCGGTCCAAGGTGGCGGTGGAGGAGGCTAAGGACGTGGGCGCCGTGAACACGTGGCTCTCGGCGGCGAAGATCGACGGCGACACGTGCATGAACGACTGCCAGAAGGTGGAGGGCGGCGGCGAGATGCAGATCGTCGACAAGATCGGTGACCTCGGCAAGATGTGCTCCATCGCCATGTCCCTCACCGATGCTTCTCGTAATCGCCCCGCGGCAGCCTGAGAAGACGTATATATGCGTGCAGCGTGCTGCATCGGATCGGCGCATGTTTAACCTGTTATTATACCGTTGTTGCATTTCTTGTACAACATAGTACTCTTTCCCCTATATCATTGAAACAAATGTCATTGTAACGGATTGGAGTGGCTAGCATCGAATGTATGCATTAATATGTATAGCAAGGTTACACTCCCTCAGTCTAGAGTGACAATATGTTGTTAAGGAATAAGGATGGAGGGGGGATTTTTCTATTTTGTCAGAGCAAAGTTCCACTGTGACTATACAAATATAATGTTCACATATAAAGGACATAAAGGACCACTCTGTTTGGTAGAGCTCCTAGAGCAACTTCCAGGTTAGATCTAGGAGGAAGTGATTCTATATTGATTCTGTCAAGTGATTCCCATAAATAAACTAAAATGTGAGAGCTGAAAAAATAGATTCTCCTTATTTACTTCACGGACAGAGTCATTATATATATAGAGTTTATCCTATTAAATCACTTCTCTCGTAGAATCAGCTTCCACAAATAATTAATTTGGAGCAGGGGAGCTCTACCAAAAAGGCATGTATGGTTGCTTGCATGAGGGCCCACCACCATATGGGTGTTCCCAAGTCGAGGTTCTTCACCTGTTTGCTTGGTTTATAAGCCGTACTTTTTTCACCAACGAACATTATTTTTCTCTCACAACAAATCAGTCAACAGTACTTTCAGCCATGGCTTATCAGCCAAGCGAACATGTCACTTGTTAAAATAAAACTTAGACTGACAGTATCTTAACTTAGCTTAAATATGATCACTAACTCAAATTTATGCGGAATGTATCTTAGTGACTAACCAGAGCCTGTGGACGCCATCTGTATCGTTGGAGATGCGATGGAGGTCGTAGATGTAGCAGATGATTTGAGTTCACCGCCTGAGGACTTGAACGCCCTCTGTCGGTGAAGAACGTGAGGAGCCGGGTAGCGGCTGCCTTCTGGACCTGAACGGGATAGACGTGGGTGACAGCCTTCCTAAACCCTCTAGCGCTTAATTGACCTGTTATGTGATTAGTCACAGGGATGGATCGGATGGAGACGCCAGGGGCGCCTCCTCTTATTTATAGTTGCGCAGTGGGCCAGGGTGCCGAACCTTTAGAATTCTAAGGGTTGCCGCCGATCACGACAGTTCTTATTTAGTTGGAAATGAATGACGAGTGGGTGGACCAAAAGCTTAACACTTAATGAATCTCATAATTAAGTTCGGGATTAGCCGAACAGATCACATTCCAACAGTTCTCCCTACACGCACGGTAGATGGTTTGCATCCACTACGTATGGATCCACTTGTCTTGATCCAGGCTCACTACATATATCGATGTAATCACTCAGACATTCGTCATATCATCTCATTGTATTCGCTACGCTTGTTTTTACTCATCCAGGATATAAGATTATACATAGCTCAATGAAGACACAACCAAACACAACCTAAACTTAGTTATAAATCATGTGACGACACATCATCAAATCTCCTTCCATGATATGCCCGATCAAAAGGCATTGTCTCGTGTGCCTCGAGGAGGCCTGTATCAGGCAAATGCAATCGGACACCTAGCAAGAAAACGAGTAAAATCCATGAGCCACCAGCCCTCAAACTTGGTGGGTGGGGGGTTGGCCCTCCCACTCAAGAAATGCGATTTTTCAGTTATTAAACTTGACTCCCAGTGGTTTCAAGTTCCTAACTCAGGAAATTGTCATTGTAGGTTCTAAATTGGCTTAAGGAGCCAACCGTGTTCAAACTAGTCCTGATCCTCCTCCGTGCGGTGATGTGGCAACATGGCATATGCTAACTTTCCATTAACGTGGACTAACGACATGTGTGGTGGCCCACATGTTGGGTCCACCGCTCCTCTCTCCTCTAGTGGTGATGTGGGATGGTTAGTTATATCTATTTGTTGTTGCTATTGGACGGGTAGAGTCGTGGAGAGGAAGGAGAACACAAGAATAAGGCTCCATTCGCTTGGCTGATAAGCCATGGCTAAAAGTATTGTCGGTTGATTTGTTGTGAGAGAAAATACTGTTCGTTCGCTGAAAAAAGTACGGTTTATAAGACAAGCGAACAGGGCAAAGAAGAAAAGTTGAGGGCACCAGCATGGTGAGCTGCAGACAATGTAGAGAGAGAGAGATGGGTCTAACATGTTGAGCCCGATTCATGTCAACATTGGGAGTAGATCAGCAACGGTTTGGACCTGATAACACCGGTAACTAAGATGAGGAGTGTGAAAATGGCGTTTCCTGAGCTAGAAAACTATATGACATTCAGAGCCAAGTTTAAAGAATAAAGATGCATTTTTATGAGTTGAAGGACTGGGGTGACACATTTGCTAAGTTTAAAGACCACTCGTTAATTTTACTTTTAAAGAAATATACCATTCGTGCGCGCATCAGGGCAACACATTCTAGGTGTGAGTTTTTAGTTTTGGATATAGAGCGCAAACACGCTCTCACTATAGAAGATATAGCTTCATTCACTGTTTCATTTTAACTCTATACAATATATGTGTCACGTCAAGAAAAACTATGTCTTGTTTATTTTAATATACGCATAAGAGCAGTCTCAATGCTAGAAACTACATGTAGTTTCTATACCTATTAATTTTCATAGACACTACATATAAAAATCATGGTATCAATGGATAGTTTCTACATAACAAATTTTTATCCAATCACATACATTCTCTACCAATCACATCCCTTCATGTCTAGGGTCTCGTGTAGACATGGTTTCTAACTTAGATCCGGTTTCTATGATTTTTGCTTTCTCTCTTCAATAACTATCTTGCCACATCAACAAAATGCTTAGGTGGCAGTACAATTAATGTCTATAAAAACTATAATGGTTTCTACTTTGGGAGTGTCCTAATATAACACATTGGGAGTAGTAGGGAGCCATCGCGTCTCGCAACGTCTCGAGACTTGGGCGCCGCCGCCGCAGTGGCCGCCCCCGCCTCCACCACCGCTGGTCCCCCTCCCTCCCCTTTTGGCATATCGCCGGAGGCCGAAGGGAGTGGTGATCCATTATTTTTAATAAGTTTTTTCAGTAGATCGAGTCCTTAGGGTTATGGTCTATCTATGCCAAGTTTTTTAGTTTTGGGGATTTATCTCCTCCTCTTCAGCGACGGCGAGAGGGCATGGTGAAATTGTTTTGTCCATGGCGGCTTTATTGAAGATGAGGACGATAACTACGGCGTCAGCATCCTCACCGGTACGACGACATGGAGACTTTTATTTCGAACGGTGACATCAAGACGGAGATGGTGTCGCCGTCGTGAAATAATTTTCTCTGGTTTCTTCTCCGTTTTATTGTGGTTAGATCTAGCCACTATGAAGGACTAGTGAGAATAAGTTTCACATCAGTCTTCCTCATTCTTCGGTGGCAAAAAGAAGAAGGAAGACACCAGAAAGAAGTTTCTCAACTCCGCCTATATGAATGTTGGCTGTCGTTCGTCAGGTATATGTTCTCAGGCCTTTTGCCGAGTCTTTGCTTGTGCGGTCATCCATGTTGCAAAGCGTCGTACAGGTTTGCACCATGTTCGTTTGATCGTTTCTGTGGCTTATAAGCCGGCTGATGCTATTTTGTTATGAGAGAAAAACACTATATCATGGCTGATAAGCATGACTGATACGATCAAGCGAATATGGTGTTGGTTTTGAGATCTGGAACTATTCACAGTGTGGGTCTAATTTAAATGAAAATCGATTTCTGGATATTTATGTAATGCAGAGTGCTTGTAACGTGCTGAAAAACCCAGATAATTCTTTTTTCCTCCGAGAAAAAGAGTACTAGCAATATTACACTGTCGGTCTCACAAACGCCGCCCGCCCGTGCATGGAGGCAAGGCAACAGATGGAGCCGGCCGATGCCGATGCATTTTCAGATGCAGTTGGCTCGCAAAACGCTCCCGGCCGCAGGTGCGTAGGAGACGGTGGCGCGGCCTCCTCGGCGACTCCATCCATGGAACCACCGCGCATATATACGTGTGCCCGCATGCCAGCCGTGCATTCTAGCTACTAGCTATTTCTTCTCGCCGCCCACCGGCCCGGTCGCCCCGAGAAGCAAGCGTCTCCGATCCGATCCATCGAGCGAGCATATACACGGCGATGGAGGCGAGGTCGGCCATGAGCTGGTACTGCGGCTCCCTCCTGGCCGTGGTCATCGCGCTGTTCCTCTCCGTGTCCCTCGGCGTGCGCGCCGCCGGCGTCGGCGTCAGTGGCGGCGTGGACCTCAAGGCGTCGTGCGCCGCGACGCCGCACCCGGACGTGTGCCTGCGCGCGCTCCAGGCCGACCACAGCATCAAGGCCTCGGCGGCCAGCCCACTGGACCTGGTGGCGGCGGCGCTCCGCGCGGCGTCGACCGCTGGCGGCGCGGTGGGCGACTACGCGCGGCACGAGTTGGACGTGGTCAAGGACAACCTCATGTGGCAGTGCCTGAACGAGTGCGCCGAGGACATCGAGGAGGCGCTGGACCACCTGGACGACACCGAGGGCGGCCTCGACGACGGCAAGATCCGCGACGTGAAGCAGTTCCTGGACACGGCGGAGGAGGACACGTGGTCCTGCGACGAGTCCTGCAAGCACGCCCCAAACACGCCCATCAAGGCCGCCCTGGTAGCCAAGAACAGGGACTTCGAGGCGGTCATGCGCGTCGCGAATGCGCTCATCAAGCGCGCCACCGGCGGCGGCGACGCGCCGGCGCCCGTGCCGCCCGCTCCAAGATTCATCAATTGATTTTTATTATAGTGATTATTAATCCCATTGATTAATCCGCGCGCGCCATACACATCGATACCGTATTTGTAGTAGTATGTATATCCTTGCTGGTACCTTTCTTTATACTAGTAGCATGCCCGTGCTATCGCCACGGCAACATTCGGGGTGCAATTTAAAACCACCAAAAGATATCATAAACTGACACTCTCTAATTACATTCCAATGTTTTCCTGTCTAAATAATTACATTGC